TTCTTGCGTTGATTTGATCTGGCTTGGTTTGAGCTGGAGCAGCCCTCTTTCGGGGTCTACCCTTCGGCCAGCCGCGCTTGCCTTTTCTGGATTCTGGGTCGTCGGTCTGAGATGACGTTAGACTTGCATCAGAGAGATCTGACCCATCAACAGGTGAGGATGCCTTTCTTTTTGATTGATTAGAGGCATCTGATTGGCTGTGGTTTCTAAGAGACAAGCTATGTGATACTTTTGGCTGAGGTGTAACGAATTGAGGTTGCTCAATTTCATGGAAGTCTTTGCCTTTCAGTGCTTGAGAAATCGAAGATTGGATGATATTAGTCAGACGTGGGATGATCTTTTCGATAATATCATCATCCTGGCTCTTTTGCGTGGCTTGTGCATACGACACGTTTGGTTGTGGAGTATGCACCACCACCTTTTTCTTGGCCTCAATATAACTTATTTTGTCAGTAGCGATCAGTTTCTGAATAGCCAATTCTGTTTTGTATCTTGGGCATTCCTTCGATGAAGCCACGTGAGGCCCGTGACAATTTAGGCACTGTACCGGGCGATCACATGGTCTTCCCATGTGTAACTCCTTTCCACATATGCATACCTGTTCATTTTGGCAAGACAATGACGTATGGCCGTACCGTTGGCATCTAAAGCAGCGTACTGGTGGGGGAATATACTGCCGAACATCAAGTTTATACATAGCGCATTTAAGTTTCGATGGTAATCTGGGGGAGTTGAATGTGATTATGTGATTTGGTGTATCACGCAGTTCATTGTCCCTCTTGACTCTAATTCTCTGTACATGTATTACTCCTTCTGATTTCAGTTCCTCGAGAATTTCACTTTCAGGGCAATTTAAGAGGTCTTTGCAGTACACGACCCCTTTGCTAGAATTTAGCGTTGGGTGGGCTTCTACTGTGACAGGAATATCTGTAAAATGCTGTATTCTTATGAGTCTGTGAGACTGGGCATCTGTTTTTGTTTCCACCAATATGCCAGCTTTAATCTTTTTAACAGAGTTAGGGTCTCCTATTATACCATTTATGGTCTTAGAAATAAGGAATGGACTAACTGTTGCAAAATTATCATTATCAACTCTCTTGATGACAAGGAACCGGGGGACGGGCCCATCCGTCTCCTTGACATTATTGTTCGGTCCAGTGGAAGCTCTACATGTAGCTCCACCTTCGCCATCGTTGCCTACATTTAGGGGGGCAGGCACACCCTTGGTTTTTGTTTTGTTTGCCATGCGAAATGCTGATCTTCACTTCCTCGGCTCCCCACCCTCCATGGAGCCTCAACGGGAGATTGTGCTCATTGTCGCCTTCCGCTAGAACACAACCCCAGGGATACCGTGAATGTCGAAACAAAGGAAGTATAGTCCCCACAGATAGCTCCACCATACATCGAGGATAGCAAACCATCCTCGTCTGGCTTCTACTACCTGTGGAGGCTCGCCCAGCCAGCCCTCTGACGGGATGGCACAGCCGATTGACCAACGCTGGGCTAGGCGTGGCCGCCCTTCTAGACTGACCGCCGGACCAAAGTGGCGTGTTGCCCCCCTGACTGGTAGGGCTCAACCACCAGGATTCCATTGGCCAGCTTACGGGTCGCCGGGCACGGCACAAACACCCGGGAGGCTAAGAGGAAGCCCCACGCGCCGCCTCAACGCATGGGTAAGGAAGGAAGGAAAGTCGAGGGAAAGCGGACAGCTGTACAGGATATAATAAAAGGAGAAGATGGGAGAAAGGGGAAGGAAAAGCCCAGGGTTTGGCAGAATGAATAAGACTACCAAACCCGAACTCCCTGCCTGGGGCCGTGGGGGCGACGCTCCCCATGTATCTTCCTTGAAACGGATCAAAGATCCGGCTTCAAAAGTAGATACCCCCTGCGGGGATTATATTATATTATATTATTATTTTATTATTATTATTATTATTATTATTATTATTATTATTATTATTATATTATTATTATTATTATTATTATTATTATTATTATTATTATTATTCTTATTCCGTTTTCTGTTAGCTATTCTCTGCTACTGCAGGTGGTATCCTCAAACGCGGCATTATACTGCAAGCGTCTGAGTGTGACTATTGGTTTCTCTTTGTCTATGTGGCTACATTCAGGACCTTGCGTGCTATATGACAACTACCTAAGATAGCAGCTTTCTGAGTGAGAGGTATAGTTTCTGCGGCAGATTTAGTTTCTCAATATATTTATGTAGACTCTTAGGTATTTCTCCTGTGGCTCCGATCACTATTGGATGACTTCAACTTTTTCTTGATTCCACAGTGTTTTTACTTCTGCAGCTAGTGGTAAGTACTTGCGAACCTTTTCTGTCTGCTTCTCAGCTATGTTATGTGGGGCAGGCACACTAATGTCAATTATGCAGGTAACTTGCTTCATTTTATCTTGAACTACGATATCTGGTTTGTTGTATTCCATGGTGTGATCTGTTTGAATTGTTCTATTCCAGTATATTTTATGGCTGTTAGTTTCTATAACTGGAGTCGGCTGGTACTTGTAATATGGGGTGCGGTCAGTTAGTATGTTCGCAGCATAACAAATTTCTTGGTGAACTTTTAGCCACGTTGTCGTGGCGCTTCAGATACTCAGTGGAAGCTAGGGAGTGCAGCTCGTCAGGATATGCTCTATTGTTTCTTATTGTATTGTTTATTATTATTATATTATTATTTATTATTATTATTATTATTTTATTTTATTATTATTATTATTATTATTATATTATTATTATTATTATTATTATTATTATTCTATATTATATTATTATTATATTATTATTATTATTATTATTATTATTATTTTATTATTATTATTATTTTTTATTATTATTATTATTATTATTATTATTATTATTATTTTATTATTATTATTATTATTATTATTATTATTATTATTTTATTATTATTTATTATTATTATTATTATATTATTATTATTATTATTCTTTTATTATTATTATTATTATTATTATTATTATTATTATTATTATTATTATTATTATTATTATTCTTATTATTATTATTATTATTATTATTATTATATATTATATTATTATTATTATATTATTATTATTTTATATTATTATTATTATTATTATTATTATTATTATATATTATTATTATTATTATTTTATTATTTTTTTATTCTATTATTATTATTCTTATTATTTATTATTATTATTATTATTATTATTATTATTATTTTATTATTATTATTATTATTATTATTATTATTATTATTATTATTATTATTATTATTATCATTATTATTATTACCAGGAGGCAAGATCGTTTTGACTGCTTATTAGCGGCTCTCTTGTCAGAGACTTTCTGACGAATGTCCGCAGGCAAGAAAGGTCTGCCGTGTCGTACAGGAGTACAGTTTGCATGAAATTTCATGTAACTGTCGCGAATTTTCATTAGCCCAATAACGCCAATTCTGCTGGTTAACCCTGCCATTAAGATGGAAGTAAGCGTCATCACTCATAAATAAAATGAGGTTCTCATTTTACGCGGTAAGTGGTTCTATCTCACGTGCGAAGTTCATTCGTGGAGGCGTATCTCCAGGCTGTAACTGTTGCGCAATGGCCAATTGTAGGAGTGAAAGTGAGTTATAGTGCAAAATACGCCTTACCGAACGATCACTGACGCGAAGTTCAGCAGCATGTTGCCGAGAAGATCGAGCCGCACTGCGAAGGAGGGCTTGTCGAACGGGTTCTAATTTTTTGGGGTTCGAACCGTTCGTGGAGCTCCTGGTGGTCTTTTGTTGATCAGTACACCACGTGTGCGAAGTTACTGAACCCAACAAAGGATGATATTTCGAGAAGGAACAGCTTGATTCCGATGATTATTGAAGTGGCGACTCAACTCACACTGACAGCCGGGATAGACTCATTATGTCGGACCAAAACAGTCGTACGCGAAACGCGGTGCTCAACCGCCCACTGCTCCATAATGTCTACTGGTAAAAATGCTAGGAACCGTCCGAGTCGAACGGCACTTTCCCCACCACTCTCGCCCGAATAGGCGGAGAGTACTAGCCATTTCAAAAAAACATCGTACTTTGTGCCGGACCCTGTATATTGTGCTCATAATAGGGAATAACTTGGTAATCATAGGGGTCGCGTGCACGATGCGATGCTGCATCGTCGTGGAGGCCTCTGCCGATTGCGCAACTGGTAACAAACTCCAACTGGTCTGCGGCGGTGTCTTCACTGACACACTGCTACAGGAGAAATATTTATATATGTTAGAAATATTTGGATATTATCGTAGTACGTACCACTTTAGCATTTTAGGATGCTTTTGTAGACAATGACTTGACTTTTTTATATCTACAAAAATGTACCACCCGTTTCACCAATCGTTTTATTTGAGTTATTCCGTCTATGATGATCCTATGAATATTTCGTCCAGTAGATTGACTCAATACTTATGACACAATGATATACAACAGACACGGACTGACAAACAGTCATACATGAGAAACACAAACTTGTGTGATGCTGATATCTCAAAGCAACCGAAAACTGCGAACGGATATTTATTCGAATATTATCACGACAGAAATAAAATCGCTGGATGATAGTGTTACAACACTTCAGAGATGCGTGCTCATTTTCAGACATTGGTTGGAGGAGCTAAAATTGTATGTTGGAGTCTGAATGCGATAAATGGTTGCAAATTGTTGTATATTTGGTGTCAGGGAAAAATCTTCGATTATTAAGAAGCTGCTCATCTCGGTGATACTATGCACCTAATAGACATAAGTCACACATATGATAGATTTGCTTTATATAGTTTGACATGCTAAGGTCGAAGATTCATCGTACCGAAGTGAACGTACCTAATTTGATTTCGCCTTTTGAACCGATTTGACATACACCTTTTCTTTGAAACCTCCAACGAAGGCGTAGGAAGTACAGATTCAATCTACTTGACGCCAGATGTGGGCGCGTTTTATTCCAGATACGTGTTAACTAATAACAAAGCAACCTTCAGCCTCAAGCCGCAACAAGGAGCGTAAATATCTCCTCCCACGATGCAGATCTGAAAACCTCTTTACTAAAGTCGATCTCCTTGATTCCAGATGTGGCTGCGATGAATGTGTCACCTCTAGGCAGGAAGATTCTCTCCGACATTCCAGAAGCAGGATAAATGCATACCGAGCATTAGCTTCACCCTCATTGATAGCACTTTCATCTAAAGACCCCATCCTCACAGCATTTGAGCTCTCCTGGGAATTGAGAAGGTAAGATTACATGGGTCATCATATCAAAACTTCGAAACGCAGATCAATTTAACAATTTCATAAATTCTCATCTTTCAAGGTCGTATGAAATTAATTTTTTTAGCGTACACTCTACTTGAACGTCTTGTTGTACTATCTTGATCACATGTCTAATTTCACAGAACAAAATAATTGAGTTACTTAGACTGAACCTATTATCCGTTAACTCAGGTTTCAATTCTATCGCGCCATTCCTTGGCCCACAATTCGAAAAATTAAACCGCTTTACCGTTTTCATTATACTATGAAGGGCGATTTAAAAAACAATGGCAACATATCTAGAGCTGAAGGTAAGGCTATAAATTTACCTTTTTTTTATACTCCAACTACCACAAAGGCCTAAGGCCTAAACACCCATTGGGTACCGTGGGGCTCCGCCCTCCGTCTATCCATTTAATATAACCTTCCAGAAGAAAAAGTTGTTTACAAAAGTAACAGGGTCTATTATGAAGTTTTCCACGTAATATTTTTTGGCTGTTTCAGAAAAGTGCTGTTGAATAAAGTTGTATTTTTTGAGAGGTGATTTTTTCTGATTCAAAATATATCATTTATCGAACTCGTTTGGAAGTATGTGTGTCATTTACACATGATATGTATAGGGCCAGAATACATATGATTAAACGACACGAAAACTTTGAATTGGACTACTCTGTATAATAGTGAGTATTTTAGAAATGTGCCCCCAGATACCATATGTACCTACTAATAAATAGTTGTTTTTAGAAGTTTTTGTTACAATGCTCCTTCCTCGCACGTTTGGGACACCCTGTAAGGATGAACCTTTTAGTGTTATCTTGGGACCTACTTTCCCTCCCATAAAAATCGCAACTGTTTTTTGAATCACCTTGTATATTCAAATTATTGCAAATGACTTGGGATAAGGCCTGGGATCCCAAGTTGATCATGTCTTAATAGATGTAAATCCGACATACAATACACACACACTTGAATAATGTGACAGGTACATCTAGATTTTAATCCGCACTTACTGTGTTCAAGAATCCGAAGTAGATTTTCAAGTTATACTCACAATGAGGCGAAGCGAAGCGAAGACAGCAGCGGCAAAATTTTTCATCGTCCACGTTATACGTAGCTTGCATTGATCAATTGATTATATGTATTCAAAGGAACCCAGCTGAAGAGTTTTGGTTCTCTTCGCTTCTCCTCTCTGAACTGGACCGTAGACCTTTACGGTGATGAGACAGACTTGTAAATATACAAACACAAAATTGTGTTCGACAATATATCCACAAACTACTGAAAGTTTGATGTGGTGTTGTTTCAAAGCACACCCTTGAAATTACACTGAAACAGATATTCCAACAGACGAGCAATCATATTGACAGAACAGGGCAAAATATGCTAATAATATATAAATTGAATTTTGTTAAAAACCTATTACTCAGTATCAACGATAAAATTTTTGGAGCGAGGAAAATAAAAGCTCAATGTGCTTACAAACAAGATTGTTTTTCCAGTCGTGGTATTGAATGGCAATAAATCAAAAGTTCCTAGCAGTATTCGCAATCCGAGCTAATTCAACTTTGTTGGGAATAAAGAAGCAAAGAAAACAGTACAAACTAATATCGAGACGGGAGACGGCGTTATCGTAGTGCAGACATTACTTTTCTGCTTAGTCGGTTCAAGACCCTTGCAAGTTTGTTTTACTTGAAGGTAATAAGGTAGTGTAGTGACCTAAGTGTGAATAGTGACCATTCTGTAAATATGCTGTGACGTAAACCTGAGTGTACCAAAGAAAAGAAGTATCTGGCCGCAAGATATCCATCGTAATTGACGGGTTCTCCTCTTTATCCCACAATCAATCAATACACTTCATAGATTTGCTGAGGATATCACTTTACATGCATGAATTCAGAACAGCAAGCTGATCTCTGTCACTGAGCTGGAAAAAAGAAATGAGTGACCGAGTTCTGCTAAAGAGTCGTTCATTCTGGCACAGCGCACTTGATCTGTCACATATCTCGTCAATTGCGGCAGCTGCTAGAAAAAAGCTAGAAGTACTTTTCTCCACTCGGGACCTCGGTTGGCCGCGTGGGTTAGAGTGTCGTGCTACTGATCAGCGGCCGGCCGGGCTGCGAGTTCGAATCTCGCCTTCGCTATGGATGTTGTGAGGTCGTGTGTTTGTCCATAATTAGAGATATACAGTACAAGATTGGATCTGGCTAATGGGACGCAATGTCCTAGTGCCAAAAAAAAAATCTCCTCACTCTATATAAGACCTAAATATTGCTCGCTCGCTTAGGGTGCTAGGATTATATTTATGTTTGTGCTGCCTGACTAGACTGACGAGTTCTGTTTTGACCATATTTTCGTTGAAACTAATGTCTTTTCTTGAATTTCTGCCTTTCTTGTGGACATTGTGAGAAATTTTTCTAGTTTTCTAGTGTGGAATGCAGCATTATCAAGTACAATGACGGCATTGTCATCAAGCTTCAAGAAAACTAATAATAATACAGGTGTTGGTTCCAAATCTACCAGATATAGCTAAGTTTAGTGTAGTTTTCATCGTGGGCTCATTGATTCAGTCTACTTGACAAAATTTTTACAACACAAATGACGAATTAGTTAGATACACGTGCCTGACGGATTCTTTAGGCCAGTGGTTAGTCCATCTAAGAAGGCTTGTCTTGCTGACTTAATTGTAGAGTCAGCCCATACTTTAGGTTTTGTATGTCCTGCATTCATCCAGGTTTCATCCAAGTAATAAATCTTCCTGCCCTGGTCGCGGTATTTCTTTATTGATTTTGAATAACTTCTTCTCCATAAAATAATCTCTTGGGAGTCGATCAAAATACCATTCGTGTCCCGTTTTCTATACTAAAAATGAAGTTCTTTGAGAACACTACAGAATGTGGTCCTTCTGACAGTAGGTAAGTCTTCATCATTATTAACCTCCTGTACTTTGTCTATGGTGGGAAGTTCCTGCCTCTCAAACAATTGATGGACTTTGGTCTGATGGCATTCCAATCAAAGTTATCAATAATTTTTTGTTTTTTTATATTCTTTAACAATGTTGAAAATAGTCTTAGAACATAGCCTGTTTTGCTCGCCACACGTCTTTCAATATCATGACTTTTCATTTCAGGATGCCCTAAAATTTCGCTCTTATAAACGTTAGGGACAATTTCTTTTGCCTGAATATTCAAATGTCCCTTCTTGTCACGTTTTCGGGGAGTAGACATTTCTGAAGAAGAAGCACGGCTAAAGGAAGCATTGGGATAAATATTCTCAGTTTCATCTGCTGTATCCGTGAACGAAATGCTAACGTATAAGCACACGCTATGTATGCATCGAATTTGAAGAGCAACTGCCGGCGTCGGCGTGCCGGCGATATCCCGAGTCTGAGTTCTATCCTGTCGAATCCTGCATTTGTTCATAGTTTTATGTCCGAATGACCAATAGCTATTGAAACGCTTAGGCGGCTGCCGCTTTGCTGTGCTGCATCTTTGTTGTGTCGGGGGGTAAATCGACTACGAATAGGGTATAGGGTGTCGAGATTGTGGAACAACCTCCAACAGAAGTCGACTTATAAGGAGATGAAGCTCTTATATTCTAATCGCCATATTCTAAACTTTAGATGCCATAAAGAGTTGGGCGCAAGCCTTTTATTGTCAATTTTAGCTTACTCTCTAGTCCTCATTTACCCACGCCTAGATTCGGTTTGCAACTCAAAATGGCATAATCTTCAGAATAACTGTTACAGATTCATATATGGTCTTAGGAAGTTAGTAGAGTTTCTTCAAAAATTAAGAAAATACAGTGGCTCATTTTTTCACACAGCAGTTGGTGCAAACATTGTAGATATAATATCCGAAACTTATCCTGTGGTTTTTATGCTGATGGCACTTCCTGGTTTTCCTGCCAATTCACTAACTGAACTACATATGTTCAAGTTACTCTTCACTGATGTTCAGACTTCCTGGGTAGTTTTTTCAAAGTATATATGAAAATGACAATGACAATATTGTTGAGGTCCTTTGAAGTGCTAACATTAATAAAAATGCAGATTGACTCTATACTTCATACGCCTTCGTTAAAGGTTTCAAAGAAAAGGGATGGCTCGATTCGTTTCAAAAACCATTTGATGTAAATGTATGCATATTTCTGTTTCCATGGTAGATGTGTAACTTATTAAGTCTAATAGGTGCATAGTATTACTGCGATCAGCAGCTCCTTAATATTTGAAGGTCTTTCACTGAGACCAACTATGCAACAATTTAAAACTATTTACGCATACAGCTAGCTTCCATCCTACAGTTTTCGTCCTCTCCCAACAATGCCTGAACATGTGAAATATAGTAACACTACGTTAATTTCCGTCGCCTCTGATTCAATTTTCAAAATCCACTACAACCTAAACGACTGAATTATTAATCTTACGATAATAACTTTGGTTCGCAAGTTTACTGTGGCTTAACTGCATTACACAAGTCGCTGTTTCTCATTTGTGTCAGTTTTTCAGCCCGCGTCTGTTTTATATCAATGCGTTATAGGTACCGAGTCAGTCTACTTGATGAAATGCTTAGAGAAACATCATAGACGGAGTAACCTAAACTAAACATTAGACGAAATAGATGCTACATTCAAAGATCATGAAATTCAGAAAAATATATTGTGTAGATATAAAAACATCATCGCAGAACGCTAAAGTGGTATGTGCTCGTAATATCCAAATATTAATAAGGATATAGATATTTATCCTGTAGCGGTGTGCCAGTGTCGACACTACCGTAGACCATTTAGAGTATGTTACCCACAGTCGGCAGTGGCCTCCGTGACGATGCAGCATCGCGTCGTGCACGCAACGCCGAGTATCCAGTTATTTCGAATTATGAGCACATTATAGATCGGGCTTTTATCATTTAATTGACCCGTTGCTACCGGGATCGGAAGCTTCTTGATGGTAGATAGATAGATAGATAGAT